GGGGGACGGGGGTGACGGGGTGGTAGGGGGGCGTGTGGTGAGTGGAGCTGTAGGGAAAGCGGGTGAGGGCGTGTGCCCACCCATGCAGGAAATGGTGGTGGCACAGGGCAGTAGAAACAGCAGAGCGCCCAAGGGAAAGGAGAGCAGAACTGAGGACAGTGGCAAGGCAGGAAGGGTGGGGGCCGCCTGGAGAAGGGAGGGAGACAGCTGGGAACAAAGACAGGGTGCCAGCCTCCTGCTCAAGACCCCTCCAAAGAACCGTTCAGAACAAGGCTCCGTGCTCTTTGATGTAAGTTCATGGTTTAAATATCAGCTTGGGCTGGAAGGAGCGCACTGACACGGAGCACTGGACCCCTAATCTGACTTAAGACATTGTAACCTCTCTGTCCAACCACGTAGCAGATAATAAAGTAAAATGATGAGTTTGGAGCTGGGACCCGATGACTCACCCCTGCGATCCTAGCCATGCAGAAGGCTTGGGATCTAAAGATCTCAGTTCAAAGCCAGCCAGGGCAGGAAAGTACATGAGGCTCTCATGTCCAATTAACCACCAAAACCAAAAAAAACTGGTAGTAGAGCTGTGGCTCAAGTGGTAGAGCAGCCTTGAGCGAAAAAGCTAAAGGATAATCAATGCCCAAGCCCTGAGCGCCAGCGCACATACGCACACATACACACGCACAGAGCCAATGAGCTCAAAAGACCTCATTCTTGCCAAAAGGAAATACCCGTTCACAATTTCCTAGCAACTCTACATGAACCAAAATATATAGTTCATCGGGAGGAATGGCAGCTGCTCCTGTGCTTGTTGGCAGCCTTCTCGTTGGAAGGATGGGGTGAGCGGAGAGAGCATCCCGAGGGAGCCAGCTGGTCAACTGCTGCCCAAAGACCTGAAGCTGGACACTGTGCAAAAGTCTGTAGCCACACTGCTTTCTTTCTAGGCGCACACACGGGGCATGCGTCCCAACCAAACCCTCAGGTACTCTTCTCTCACTGCTTTCCCAGTGATGAACCACTGTTCAGTCAGACAGTCTATTAACCTGTCTGTAGTAACTGCATGATCCAATTACTAATTTTTTTTTTTTTTTGTTGGGCGTGGGGCCTGAACTCTGGGCCTGGGCGCTGTCCCTCAGCTCTTCAGCTCAAGGTGAGCACTCTACTGCTTGAGCCACAGCACCACTTCCGGTTTTTTTGTGGTTTTATTGGAGATAAGTGTTTCAGAGGCTTTCCTGGCCAGGCTGATTTTGAACGGAGATTCTCAGATCTCAGCCTTCTGAGTAGCTAGAATTACAGGCATGAGCCACGGATGCCCAGCTCCGTGAGATTCTTATCTCCAAGAAACCACTAGAAAACTGGAAATCTGGAGGTGGCATTGTAGCTCACGCGTAGAGCGCTCGCCTTGAGCTGAGGAGCGCAGGGACAGCGCCCAGGCCCGGAGTTCAGGCCCCACCACCGACAAAGAAAAAATAAAAAGGAAGCCAGCGCCGGTGGCTCGCGCCTGTCATCCCAGCTACCCAGAGGCTGGGACCTGAGGATGGCGGTTCAAAGCCAGCCCGACAGATGAAGTACGCAAGACTCTGTCTCCAGTGCAGTAAATGACTTCAAAGTAAAGCCGTTTGGGCTTAAAAACACAACGTACACAAAAGCTTGGTTTCTGGAAATTTGCAAGTGTGACCAAGATGACACTCTGCAGGGGTGAGCAGCAGGAGGGGCGGGCAGGGCGGGCAGGCTCCGCAGCCCAGCACCAGCGGGCCTCCAGCCCCAGGATCGGCGGAAGCCCACCGGCCTGGGAAACACAACCGGAGCCAAAGGAGCCTGCCCGGCAGTACCTCCAGGGCCCAGACAGGTGAGGCAGGCCAGCAATCTGCAACCCACCGGCCCCCAGCTGGCCTCCCGGCCCAGGTACAGGGCGGAGGCAGGAAAGGAAGGGGTGGCAGAGAAGGGGACCTGGCAGCTGGGACCCCAGCCCCGCCCCTTCCACCCCGGCCCCTCCCTTCCCTGGCCCCGCCCCTTCCC